TACCTCCGTTTTGGAAAAAATCTATTTCGTGAGCCCACAGCGTTGAAACTTCCCACCTGATGACGGACGCTTGTGTTGCGCCCGAAACGTGATTTATTTTATTTTATACCTACGTGACTTTACCGAAAGAACCAAAGAGTAGAGTATTCTTATTGTTCAAATGTACTGTGTACATTAATGCATCTTATCAAATGTAATTTCACCCTAAAACGCATTTGCCCCAGTGGCAGCCTTCTTCTGATATCAGAAAAATGTGGGTTTCTTAAACGTTGGGTATTTTGATGTTTCAGTCGTAAAAATATACCCAGCATCCCTGTGTCCAGCTGTGATGGAACAGCGTTGAAACAGCACCCACGACACTCTCTACAGCATGTGTTTGTTTTCATAGTATGGGGAGATGCCGATTAAATGTAACGTGAAAAAGTCTTCATGAATGAAATGAGCATGCACCTATAATTATCTCCAAAGGACACGAAGCAGCTGACGTGAATCCAGCCCAACTGGTTCCGCCCGTGCTGAGTAGGGAACAATCGGCTGGTGAAACACAACGATGCTGCTCCCTGGTACACAACGACCAGCAGTGGCACACACAGACAAAAAACATGCCGTGTCTTGTCATGAGGGCAGCCATTAGCGCATGCTGGATGCGTAGACATTCTTTAACGACGAAACTTCAATGACACCATGATGCGTAATGTGGCCTGTGGCTCAAGGGGCCGCGTGCGTCGCGGTGTCCGAGGCGACGCTCTCCGCCTGCCGCGCCACCCACCGGCACCGCTACTACCCCGTGGCACATCGCGGTGGTGGGGGAGGCGGTGACAATGCACGCGATGCTGTCGATGCTCCTCCTCGTACCCTGTCCCAGCTGACGAGCCCCACTGGGGGCCGTCTCAAGTCTCAGCTGGGAGCCGTCTCAAGTCGGAGCTGGGAGTCGTCTCAAGTCTCAGCTGGGAGTCGTCTCAAGTCTCAGCTGGGAGCCGTCTCAAGTCGGAGCTGGGAGTCGTCTCAAGTCGGAGCTGGGAGCCGCTGTGGGATCAGCGCTGCGGCAGTCGCCAAGGAAGCAGCAGGTAGAGCGCTCGCTGCGTTTCCCTTCGTTACCTCTCGCGACGCTCGCCAACACGTAGATCGTGATGTCAGCATTCCCCACTGCCTCGCTCATGCTGTTAATCTACACTCAACGTGTTTATATTACTACTACACGCTTTTATTTAACTCACTCTGTCTGTTGTTGTATCCTCAAATCTTGTAACTCAATTTTAACCAACTTCCCAATGTCGTATCGACTGCAAACTTGGTATACGTATGTCATACTGGTGACAATTCTATATTCTATCATTAAAAATAAAGATATTTTTAAACCATCTTTTTAATATGTTATGTTTCGGCTTGGGTCTAATTGCCCACGCTCAACTGACAGCTGTAAATCACCCGGCACCTTACGTTGTGGCAAGCTTCGGGGCCACCTCCTGGAGTCGGTGGAGTTCAGCCATTACTCATACCATACATTTCATTAAAGTGTGTTTTTTTTAAGTATTTCTAAATATTACTTATTTAGTTTTACCAGGTAAGGCGCACTGAGCGATGTAGCTCTTCTTCAGAAGCGACCTGACCACAAGACCTCTCACGTGTGACTTACCACGTGCACATTTATAGCGGCAGCCAATTACTCTCAAACCCAGCAGAACCCAGAGGGAATTCTACACGACCACGGGAGAACATCCAAACTACAAATATACAGCAGACGTCAGGGTCGAGATCGAACCCACCAGGCGAGATGGTTAACATTTCGCCACCATGGCGCCCCATTATTAATGATTAACTCCGCTAAATTGTAACTTTCACACGCGTTGAAGGGGTTGCATGCGGACACAGGCTGAGTAAGGATGATAAAAATAATATTTAAAAATACTTCTTTTAAAACACCCTTTAATGAAATGTACCGTACGAGTAATGGCAGAACTCCATGACTCCAGGAAATGGCCCCGAGGCTTGCCACAACGTAAGGGGCCGTGGTGATTTACAGCCAACGTCAGTTGAGCGTGGACTATTAGACCCAAGCCGAAACATAAGGTATAAAAAAGATTTCTTAAAAATATTATTTTTTATTTGTAATGATAGACTCTAGTATTGTCATCAGTATGACATAAGTATACAAAGTTTGCAAGTCGATACCATATTGGGAAGTGGGTTAAAATTGAGTTACAAGATTTGGGGATACGACAACAACAACAACACCAGACAGAGTGATCTTAATTTTGGAGCTTTCGTGACTGCAGGAATTATTCTTTGGTTTTTTCGGTAAAGTCACGTATAAAAATAAAATAATAAATTAAATAATAGCATACGACGTTTCGATTGCAACACAAGCAATCATCATCAGGTATAATGAAATAGCGACATAGAATATAACCAGAAAACTATAGACAGACATATAAGCAGACAGATATCACCAAGATACATAGAGAGAGCAACCCAGGTACAGAGAGAGGTGATCGTCTCTGTGGGGTGGCCTTAAATAGACAGAGGGGGCGGAGGCAGAGAGAGGGAGGGGTAGGGAAAACATTTACATGTCAATGAGTACGAAGGGAGGGGAGTAAGGTAAGCAGGCTTAGAGGGAGACAGAACACACTAAATTAAATAACCTAGCAAAGTATCGAAATGTTATGTAAAACGACACAGAGAGTCGGTCAACACACAATTAACGCATTGCCTGGTCGATTACGTATTTCAAAGATTGCTAAGTTAGAATTTAAGTGTGAAAATTCCAAAGAAAGACAAAACATAAAAAAGAGGAACGGAGACACACAGACAGAGCAGAACCTAAGAACGATACAAAACGAGTGTAGACAGAGAAAATTACACTAAATATACAGGCAGAGAGAGAGAACAAGAAACCCAGAGAGAGAGAAAAAGGTAAACTTGGAACTTCCCCGTAGAAGTGGTTCAATCTTAATTTTGGAGCTTTCGTGACTGCAGGAATTATTCTTTGGTTTTTTCGGTAAAGTCACGTATAAAATAAAATAATAAATTAAATAATAGCATACGACGTTTCGATTGCAACACAAGCAATCATCATCAGGTATAATGAAATAGCGACATAGAATATAACCAGAAAACTATAGACAGACATATAAGCAGACAGATATCACCAAGATACATAGAGAGAGCAACCCAGGTACAGAGAGAGGTGATCGTCTCTGTGGGGTGGCCTTAAATAGACAGAGGGGGGCGGAGGCAGAGAGAGGGAGGGGGTAGGGAAAACATTTACATGTCAATGAGTACGAAGGGAGGGGAGTAAGGTAAGCAGGCTTAGAGGGAGACAGAACACACTAAATTAAATAACCTAGCAAAGTATCGAAATGTTATGTAAAACGACACAGAGAGTCGGTCAACACACAATTAACGCATTGCCTGGTCGATTACGTATTTCAAAGATTGCTAAGTTAGAATTTAAGTGTGAAAATTCCAAAGAAAGACAAAACATAAAAAAGAGGAACGGAGACACACAGACAGAGCAGAACCTAAGAACGATACAAAACGAGTGTAGACAGAGAAAATTACACTAAATATACAGGCAGAGAGAGAGAACAAGAAACCCAGAGAGGTAGAGAAAAAGGTAAACTTGGAACTTCCCCGTAGAAGTGGTTCAATCTTAATTTTGGAGCTTTCGTGACTGCAGGAATTATTCTTTGGTTTTTTCGCTATTTCATTATACCTGATGATGATTGCTTGTGTTGCAATCGAAACGTCGTATGCTATTATTTAATTTATTATTTTATTTTTATACGTGACTTTACCGAAAAAACCAAAGAACAGACAGAGTGAGTTAATAGAAAGCGTTAATAATTCACGCGTCTGTGCCAAGTCGCCGCTGTGTGCATAATCATCACCACCATCATCATGAGATGATGGTGATGATGATGGTGATGTATCTGTACCAGCACGGGGCCGCAGCGTCGCCCAGTGAGCACTGCTGCTATAGATGTCCACATGAGCTATCATTAGTGGCCAGGTCCCTTCTGAACAAACGATGTATAGCTCAGGGGACCTTACTTGGTAAAACAAATAGTCTAGTTCGTTGGCACCGACCGCCAGAATTGTCTGGACGGCTCCGCTGCTCCAGCTCCTCCAGCCGCTCCTGCTCCCGGGTTGGGCGAGGGCGCTCCCAGCAGCCAGTCCAGCGCGGCTTGGCGAGCGCGTCGCTCGCCGGTCTCCGTACACATTACCCGAAGACAGAGAGGAGTCTACCTGCCATGGTGTCGCGGATGTCTTTGTGAGTACTTGTGCCGTGAGATGACTTCGTGACAAAGTCGTACGCCCAGACCCCGAGACTGCGGCGTCCACGACTCGCTCCCCTGTGGCAGCACTGGCAGGTTTTTCGCTTGTCTCTCCAGACGCGGTCCAGGGCGCCGCGGTGGCAAGATGTCAACTCCCTCGCCTGGTATGCAGGATTTCGAGGATTCGAACCCAACCCTGACGCCTGCTGCTATATATTTGAAGTTTGCATGTTCTCCCCGTGGTCACGTGGATTTTTCTCCGGGTCCACCGGTTTTTCCCTCTACATTTAGAATCAACATCAAGCGTTTCGAGTATTTGGCTACTATAATTGTCCACGTGGCGTTGCGGTCGATGGAGTCGAGGGAGACCTTGATGTCGATGTAGGCCACGTGGAGTCGTGACAGTGACCTCGGGCTCACATTGGACCTGCTCAGATGTTGAGATGACATTTTGATAGCAGCAGTTGCGTGGTAAATAGCCTCCGAATGTCTCTGATCTTTGGGAGATTTTGAGAACACTGGCATTCCACAGGGGTTGAATTCCCCAAGATGCACATCCTCCCACACAGCCTCGGGAAGCTGCGAGCCACATGGTGAGCGGAGAGGCTGCTGCGTGAATCAGAAGTACCTTTTCCAAAGGTCGCGGGCGACGATGATTTCTTTGCACACGCATTCATTTCTTGTACGCCGGCAGACGAGCAGCCGCCATACTGCGGACCGATCATGGATGTGGGCGCTTACCTGGAGCGGATCTGCTTCGTAGGCAGCACAGCCCCCAGCGTGGCATCGCTCCGCGCCCTCCACCGTGCCCATGTGCTGTCCGTGCCGTTCGAGACCCTCAGCATCCACTGTGGGGAGCCCATAACCCTGGACCTGGAGAAGATCTACCGCAAGGTGATGACGGCACATCGCGCGCACTGCGATCAGCACAGCGCGAGAGTTTCCGGTGATGTGGGTTTCACGCAAAAGTTAGCAATATGATGGATTTACACTGCAGCATCTGTATGGCTCTCAGAGTGTGTTTTCAGGAATGTACGTATGTGTTGAACTTATTTCGCACCATATATACAGCCGACCGCGCTAATCGGAGGTGTGGGGGGAGGACAACAAACTAAACACAAAAAGCGGTTTAAAAAAATTCGTTTTCAATTTAAAGAAATGTGTTTGCAATAATGTGCTAATTTAATTTGAGGACTCTTAATGATTTCGGAAAAGTATTTGTCAGGACTCGATGGTTATTCAGATAACATGGACATTGTTGCCATGATATTACTCGAGCACGACAGTTCCTTGCCCATAATATTGTCGTGCCGTATATAAAACCCCACGAATATTTCAGTGTTCCCTTAGACTGTTAGACAATCCCTTGGCGACCTCATCTTTTCCAAGAATGTTCCTGACCGTGACAACTTCTGCCCACTTTACGGACTTTTTGGAGTTAAAGAATATACAGTAAATCAAAACCTATTCATGAATCTCACAGTAGTGGGTCAACTCGAAATCTACTTTTTATCTACACCGACACTTGCATGCATTTCATCCGCACAACTAGTTTCTCTCTGTATACAATCTACACTGGACACATTGGTAAATGTTCTTGGTTCTTTCGGTAAAGTCACGTAGAAGGGAAGTAATAAAATAATACAAATTTAACATAAAATAATTCTCACGACGTTTCGGCCACAACGCAAGCAGCCGTCCTCAGGTGAAGAATGAAACGCCACCAAGCTTGGAGCGTATATTTAAGCTGGGTTGGAGGGGGAAGAAGAGTGCCTTGACTAAAGAATTTGCATATCAAGCAGAAGTTTGTAGGTGGGGGAGTTGATAGGAACACATTGCCAGTGAACTCAAACACGTACGCCAAGCTCTTAAGGCTAATGGTTACTCCGACTACACAATCCGCAAAGCCATCACTCCAACCATCAAGAAGGATCGTATTGAGGAGCCTTTCAAAACCATCACCTTACCCTACATTGCTGGGGTCACAAAAAAGATCTCCAAAATCCTGATTAAACACAAGATCCAGGTCCGATTCAACACAGTACATAAAATCCGTGATCTAGTCCTGTCTGTAAAAGATGTGGTTCCAGACATACAGTACCGTGGCATCTACAAACTAAGTTGCCTCTGTGGTAGCAGTTACATTGGAGAAACCAAACGACATATCTCGGACCGCATCCGTGAACATAAAGCAGACCTGAAACACGGTAGGACAAACACCTCAGCCGTAGCAGATCACTGTTACAATTCAGTGGGCTCACATGACATTGACTTCTCCAAGACAGAGGTTCTCTGCAAGCCATCTGGCTACCATGAGAGATTCGTTCATGAGGCGATCCACATATACATATACAAACACAGAGACAATTTCAACCGAGAAAATTGATTCTGGCTCAGCAATCATTGGAAGGACGTAATAAACCATTTCGGATCTTAACTGATTGTCTTCACGTTTACGGTGACTTTCAGACCGCAGTCCACTCAATGGCATTGACTATATATCTTGTATTCTCCACAGGGAATGGATTCTTTGCTCTGCTGCAAGTCTCCTTTCACTACTCTTCCATTGACATATTTCGTTGCTTCCTCTTAGTATCTTTCACGCGACGGTCAATGGTATAGTGTATAGCAGATTGTATAAATAGTATAAAATTGTAATGTTTAATACAATTTATAAGGTAATATACAGTATCGTAATTGTATAGTGAATATACAGCAGTGTGGTATATAGTAGGGTGGGTAAAATAATACTTAGTGTAATATTATAGACGAAGGTATAGAGTGGTGTATAGTAATACAGTATATAATTTAATGTTGAGTTTGTCTATGGTAGTATATAGTACGGGGTAGACCCGTGTGATGTAAGAGAAAAAAGTTTAGCTGGAAGCATATTATATTTTTTGCGACATAGAATTGTAATGTATTACTTACTTTTAGTAGCTCAGCTTATTGGAGAGTATATTTAGTATACTGATGATACTATGTAGTTTATACTTTCGTTTTTTTTTACGTGGTTGTTTAGCAACTGCAGCTACATACTATTAACATTCCTCCCCTTTGTTAATGTTACCCCCATCCCCTCCCTTTGATGCTGCTAATCCTGCATAATGCACAGGCATAATATGACTTTGAAACCCCCCCGCCCACCTCCTACGCATTTCGCATAAATATGCTAAATTCCTCTTGATATGCAAATTCTTTAGTCAAGGCGCTCTTCTTCCCCCTCCAACCCAGCTTAAATATACGCTCCAAGCTTGGTGGTGTTTCATTCTTCACCTGAGGACGGCTGCTTGCGTTGTGGCCGAAATGTCGTGAGAATTATTTTATTATGTTTTATTTTTATTATTTATTACTTCCCTTCTACGTGACTTTACCGAAAGAACCAAGAAGATGAATCCCTGCAGTCATGAAAGCTTTAAATCGAAACATTGGTAAATATTGACAAATATCACATTTATCTTATTTGTCATCTAAGGCGCTATAAACCTTAGGCGGATTTTTGTTGTTGTTGCAACTGACTACTGGCTCACGGGCCGCGTGACAAGGCCGTTGCGTGCCGACAGATTGTGAAGGAGCGGCGAGGAGGCTTCTGCTACGAGAACAACGGCCTCTTCTCTTGGCTGCTGCGGCAGCTGGGATTCCAGGTGACCCTGTGTTCAGCTCGCGTGCTGAGCCCCTTCACTCACAGGTAACGCCTACCTTTACGCGTATCTTGACGTGGTCTCTCTCTCTCTATGCCATACACAACATGATTGATTCTGCAAACACTGACCCTCTGCCAAGGGAATGTGTAATTTCCACAATTGGGCATAGGGCCAGCAATGGACGTACAAGCACTACCGACATTGTTCATTTTTGCCCTGCACGCCTCCCGTTCTAAACATCAACGTGACGTGCAGATGGAGCTGTGGCGCAGGGGTTAGCGCACTACGAACCCAGCCACCCGAGTTCAACTCCTGGTCACGGCTAACATCAGTGGCGAGTGATACTCAACTGATCCTGGGTGCCTCGCTTTCAAAAATCCTGCACTGACCAGCGTGGGGAGTATGCTCGGCGTGGAGATCTTCATCCAGCAGTGGATTGACAAAGGCTACACTTTGTTGTTGTTATTCTGTAGCTTTGCTCTGGGACCGCACCTCTCTTACAACTCGGATAATCTCAGAGCAGTCCAAGCGTGATGTCCTTTGTGCCAACAGACACAGTCATTTCCTTTTGTTTGAATGAAATTCCTCACCTATTGCGCTAAACTGTTTAATGTACCATACGTAGCCAACCGTACTAATCCTAGGTGTGGGGAAGTACAACAAACCCTCGCCTGGTATACAGGAGGTCGTGGGTTCGATCCCAACCCTGACGCCTGCTGTATATTTGGAGTCTGCATCTCTAACTGTCTCGCCGTGATTGCGTGGATTTTTCTCCGGGTCCTCCAGTTTTTCTCTCCACATTTAGAAACATGTGTTTAGTGTATTTACTTCGACTATAAATTTCCACGTCATAAGCCACTTCGTTAGTGGCCAGGTCGCTTCTGAATTAGAGCTACATAGCTCAATGGGGTTTACCTGGTAAAATACATAGTTTAGCTTAAAACAAAAAGCAGTTATAACGAAATTAGTGTACGATGGTTAATCAGAGCAAAATAAAATAAAATCCAATTAAGTTGATGTTATTAATGATTGTGTAATGTTAACATCAATGTGAAGGGGCAGTAGCGGTGGAAGCATTCGCGGCCGTGGCCACGGCGGTGTCCAGATCCTGAATGTGGCCTCACGTGCAGGTACGGGCCTCCTTTTCAACATCTCATGATCCTCGTGAAACTGGTGCAACGGACGGCCAGAAGTGTCCATCGGCGCTTCCTTCAGGGGAGCGACAGCTCGAGAGGTTCGTGGTGGATGTTGGCTTGGGAACGGCATGCGGGAGCCGCTGGAGATGGAGAGTGGGCGGGAGAGCGAGCAGGAGTCTGGGACGTACCGGCTGCGCAGCGACTGCCCTGCCGGCTGGTGGAGCCTGGAGGAGGCCTCGGTGGAGGAGGCCTCGGTGGAGGAGGCCGGCGGTGATGGATCCAATTGAAAGATGTACGCTCGCTGCACACTAACACAGCGACACGCGCCTGCAACATTCCCAGCAAGTCTATACAATGACTCCACTAACCATCGCGATCCCTCAAGGTGCTGTGCTGCCACAGCCACCGTACTCCAGCACACGAACTGATCTCATCGCGCTCCCCCTCCTTCGGTTGCCATTCCGTCGCCAGCGTCATACGCTGGCTATTGTTCCTTGTAGCGGCGTGTCCCATTCAGGAGTTAGCATGGGGGTGGTGATGTATCGCTCTCAACGTTGTGTAACTTAATCACCTGCAAACTGCTTTTCCATATCCCACACCTCCGATTAGCACGGTTAGCTACGTACGGTGTGAACGAAGTTCAAAGTACATACATCTCAGCGAGTTATTGTACAAAACAATTCCTGGATTTGTAAGTGTGTGTCGTATTTTCTGGTAATTGTGGTGCTGGCAGTCAAAAACATGTTTTTTTTCAACAGCTGGCCATTTTAGTCGTCTCATGTGTAATGGTTTTTTTTTACTGTTTTGTCATTGATATATCACATTTCTCTTTCGCAATAACTCTTCCAAATGCATGATTGGCCACCTCTCCCCATTTTAATTTGACAGCCGAGTTGTACTTTTGTACCGACCACCTCTTTACAACGATAATGAAACGGTGCGTTCGGGATCGTAACCAAGCAGAGTTCGCAAACCTGTGCATGCGATCGGAACTCGGCTCTTAACTCGTTGACGGCACCAATGCCATGAGGCAGAAATCCATCTCCGGGTGAGCGACCGGCTGTGCAATCGCTGACTCGGCGTGGATCCAGCCGCAGAGTGCAACATGCAGCTGACACGCACGACAAAGGCAGAATATCAAGACGGCGCAGTCGATCAATGTTCAGAGTGTAGATGCTTACACGTGTAATAAGACTCTTTGAGACGACTTCTGGAATCCGTCTTTTATTCACTTTGGGTTACATCTACTTCACGCTGCTGATAGACAACGTGAAGGGACAGATAGACCGAGAGAGACGCACTGCCACGTGGCAACTCGGAGCCCCGCGCTTCCTCCATTGGTTCCCGTTCTGACCACGTGTCGTTCCTCTCTACCCCTATTTAATCCCCGGTCACGTGGTACGCTTCAGCCAATCCTCGTTAGCCTGCATCGAATCTTCCAGGCTCCTCGTCAGCTGCCGGGACCACGCCCCTGACTCATCTCCCCATTGGCTGAGGCCAAAGCCAGCAGAACCAATCTCCATAGCTGTCACCCTTCCATCACGTCAGGGCCATGCCCCCAGGCTTCCCCCCATTGGCTGTAAACCAGGACCGGCAGAGCTAATCACCATGACAAGGTGTGATACATCAGTGAGCCGGATATATTCTCATTACACATGATTTCTCTTGTTTAAAAATAATCCTCGTTGTGTTTGTTAATTGCAGGTAGAACTGCAGCCACCTCGTGCGGGAGAAGACGAATGTTGGACAGTGCTTTACAAGTTCACAACAACCGCACGTGGATTTCTGGAATTCTCAGACATGTGCCAGTACAACCAGACGTCACCGAGCTCCATGCCCGCGTCTAAATCTCTGTGCACCCTTCACACGCCTCAAGGTCGGGTCACCTACATGGGCCAACGTCTCACCAGCACCACCGTCAAGCCGGCGCGGAACCATCGAGTCCGCAGGAAGAGCAAAGCCGTCCGTGAGCTTTCCGATGAAGAGATCCCCATCGTGTTGAGGGACGTCTTTGGAGTCGTTCTCAAAAATCCATTGGTGCCAAAAGATCGTGCCATTGTACCTGAAGAGTGCGATCAGTTTTAATGTTTTAGAATTGTAACACGGGAAGGCCAACGTGCATCTGGTGTTACGTGCATCATGCATGCACGCACGCACGCACACAAACACGCAAACACAAAGACACTAGATGAGCACCCACCAAGGCCTCTTTAAGCACACGTTCTATGGAGCATGGCGAGACCAGCATGGTCTACATACGGGGTGGTGGGGCTGGTTGTCGGGGTGCCATGTATCTCGGCCTCGCTGTGCGCTGCGTTGCACCGCTAGTCGAGTAGACAACCATGTGTTCAATAAACCCTCGAAGCCAGGATGACCGTCCAACTCCGATCGTCATTTATTGATTGTAACAGGTAAGACTGGTGAGAAAACACAGATACAGCATCTGTTATAATTCGGAAACACCCACACAATGAACACCACAGCATCAGAACATTGTCTCAGATAACAATAGATCCTGGAAGGACCAGGCCCCCACATTACCCCTGAACAACTAGACAAAGGCACAAGCTGGTGCGTTGCATACAGTCAAATAGTGTATTCATCCCACTGCACCCCAAATGTACAGCATTACACTTAACACTAAACTGTGGATGAGATACTTCGTCATCACTCTCAGGATCGCAACATAGGCACAAGTCTGACTCGACCTACTAAATCACAAGTAACATCCACAATAAGGAAAGTCACAGGCTTCGTTACTAACTAGGCCTCGTATTTACTACAACAACTTAACGGCACCATAAAGGCATTTACATTGCTATAACGGTCATTCCAACATTACAACAGAATTTCCAATATTATAAGAATATAAACAACTTACAGATAATGCTTCTTAAGCTCCCACAATGGACAAGTGCGGCTGTGGTCTCACTGAGATGCGATGCGTGCCGCCATCTTGACTTATCTGTGTAATGGCTGACGCCCGCGTGGTACAGTGGAAATCTAACATCGTCACTTCCTGGTCACGTGACCAACATTAGCATCAAAAAACAGGAACTTCCTGTTAACGTACGCTCCCCATCTGCCGTGAGGCAAGACACTCCCCGTCTGGTATCTAGGAGATACCACCATTTATTTCCTATCTCATAAACAAGTGTATAACAACTTCAACGGGTCGACTTATTTGTCCATATCTTTGCGAGAGAGAAGTAGTACTATCTCGACTATGGGCTTGATGAAAGTTCTTGCGACTCCTTGCTTCGCAATCATAACCTCGACCTTTCGAACTTTTCCATCGGCACTTGGAATCGACTTGAGGATGCGGCCCATTGGCCACTCATTCCGTTTGGCTTGGTTGTCCTTCAGTAGGACGAGGTCGCCTTCTTGGATGTCTGGTCTATTAGACTGCCACTTGTTGCGCACTTGGAGTGTCGTAAGGTACTCGTTTTTCCAGCGACGTCAGAACGTGTTCGCGAAGCTCTGCACTTGTCTCCATTGACGTCTGTAGAGGTCTGCAGTGCTGGCCTCCTCGGTAGGTGCTGTGAGCACATCTGTCTTTTGGGTAAGAAGTGTAGCAGGAGTCAAGATGAATGGTGACTCCGGGTCGGTTGAGACGGGGATCAGGGGTCTTGAGTTAATTATGGCTGAGACCTCGGCCATGAGAGTGGTCAAGACCTCGTGAGAGAGCCGTGTGGACCCGACATCACATAGCATGGAGTCGAGAATGTGTCGAGCAATCCCGATCATGCGTTCCCAGGCTCCACCCATGTGCGAAGAGTGGGGAGGATTGAAGATCCATGTGCAGCCTTGATCACTAAGGTATTTCCTGACAGAATAATCTTCGACATTCTCCGTATTGATCTTAAGCTCTTTACATGCTCCTATGAAATTGGTTCCACAATCAGAACGGAGTTGCTTGGCTGGCCCTCTGATGGCGAAGAACCTCCGGAGTGCATTTGAAGTATTGGAAATGACGGCAGGAACTTCTTGACGGGTAACCCACTTTTATTAAATCTTGACGTGTCACAATACAACGTGTGGTCTCTATTCTTCTGACTATACACTCCACTTAACTCGTGTAGACTCTATGCCTCTGGCTACACACCATGCATTCGACTCGTGTAGACCCTATGCCTATGGCTACACACAATGCATTCGCCTCTGGGTTACACAGAGTCCCGGTCCCGTTAGGACAGCGGGACTAGGTACCGCAGGGCCCTATCTCTTCATCCCCGTCTTCATTCTTCGCTGGTTACATACTGCCTTTACGCCTGTGTGCATCCCCTTTTATAGCCCCTGCTCACGGAGACGGAGCTGATGCGGACGTCGACGTGAGCATCGCTCCTTAGTTAACCAATGACGACGCGCTATCTCTACGATCCGTTTTCCCCAGCGCGTGTTAACACTACTCAACCAATCACACCGCGCTGCCACCCGATCACTCCCTCTCAGCGCGTCACCGGCACACAGCCAATCAGCACCCGTAACCCACGACCCCGCGCTGACCCCTGAT